GAGAACAGTGGCACAAGGGTCACAGTGACCTGCCAAAGGTCACGCAAGAGAGCCTGAAACAGAGAAGGGAGTTAACTTTGTGTCTCTGAGGCCTAGTCCTTTAGCCACAAGATCAGATCTTCGCTGACTGTGCAGCTGAGCATTTTCCCATTCACATTAGTCAGCTGGCAAGGATCACGTCTGGGGTAGGGATGTGACGGTCTAGCTGAGTAGTCGCTTCTCCCTCCCCTCCCCCACCTCCCCCTGCTGTCTCTATCAGAAAGAAGCAGCAAGGGTGGGGGGAGTGGAGGAGGTACTTCAAAGCAGCAGCGCTGCATGGAACCTGGGGCCAGACCCCGAGCTCCATGCGGTGCTGCCACTTTGAAATGCCGTGTACATCCCGGAGCCAGCAGGGGTGTCCCCAGGCTGCACGCGGCGTTTCAAAGTAGCAGCGGCACATAGAGCCCAGGATCAGTGGAGGAGTCCCAGCTGACCTCGGGCTCCATGAGGCGCTTTCACCTTTGAAGTGTAGCAACAGCCCTAGGGTGGAGGTGCCCTGTCAACAAAATGCATTGACTATTTGATGAGTCAGTTACACACCATTAGCAAACCTGGTCTGGGGCTGGAAGTTCTGGGCAGCTTCTGATCCCTTGGAGTGAGCATGAGACCAAATGGCGAGATGTGAAAGAAAGGAACTAAAGAAGCCAGGGAGCCCCCACTGGCCTGACGGGCGTATTAAAATGACTCAGTTATTTGGATTCTTTTATATCTAGAATTTGCTTGGCGACAAGAGCATGGCCGAGTTATGGCTCTGGAAAGGGAGTGTGCCAGGAGCGGGGTGGTGGCCTGTTGGCTCTTTGAAAGGCATAGCACCTCTTGTAGGATGTGTGGGAGGCATGCCCTGTGCTCCCAAGAACCGTGTGAGGGGCCCGTCCCACCCCGACATGCCTGCACAGCAAGACAATGACGGCTGTGAACTCGCCCAGAAAACTGACTGCTGAGCTGTTTCAGATGGTGCTGGCCAACTACAGCTCCTTGGGTACAGGAAGATTATAGCTGGTCCTTTGCACATGCAGAGGGTGGGGGAGAAGTACAGTCATCCTCTCTCTAGTGCCTCCTCCCTACGGGGCTGGGGAATGTATCTTTGGCTGTGTCTATGCTACACGGAAGGTCGATACTGCCACGGTCGATCTTCCGGGGCTCGATTTAGCAGGTCTAGTGAAGACCCATTAATTCAAACTGAGAGGGCTCCCCGTCAGCGCTGGTACTGCTGCTCCTCACGAGGAGAAAGTGTTTGCTCCCATCACCCTCCCGCTATGTGGACGGCGCAAAAACGTGATTTAAGATGCATCAACTCCAGCTATGAAATTAACATGGCCGGAGTTGTGTATCGGAAGTCGAATTTCCCTGTTAGTGTAGCCCTGGCTTCTATTAGTAACAGAAGTAGTGTTTATTTGCATTCTGATTAGGGATGTTAGGGTATGTCTACACTACCCCGCTAGTTCGAACTAGCGGGGTAATGTAGGCATACCGCAATTGCAAATGAAGCCTGGGATTTGAATTTCCCGGGCTTCATTTGCATAATTGGGGTGCCGCCATTTTTAAATCCCCGCTCGTTCGAACCCCGTGCCGCGCGGCTACACGCGGCACGAACTAGGTAGTTCGAACTAGGCTTCCTAGTTCGAACTACCATTACTCCTCATTCCACTAGTTGCTCTCCTCCCCCCTTCCCACACCCGAGAAGGGGGGGGGGAGCAGGAGCTGATGCTGGGCCTTTAAGCTGGTTCCCCCCAGCAGCATCTCCACGGGGGGCAGGGGAGTTAGTGGCACGGCGGGCAAAGGGCCTGATCAGGGACTGCTTCTTTCCTTATGCGGGCGCTTCCACCTTTGAAATGTACAAGAGCCCTCTGGAACACTTGTACATTTCAAAAGCAGAAGAGCCACAGGAAGCCCCGTGCTCTCTGCGGCACCCCACCCCTCTTGCTGCCTCTCAGAGGCTACAATGGGGGAGGGACAGGAGCCGGTGCTGGGGGGAGCCGGCTTCACTGCTGGTTCCCCCCAGCACTGTCTCTGGGGTGCACCTGCCCCCCACCCTCGCTGCCTCGTAGAGGCAGCAGGAGTTAGAGGACACTGCTGCGAAGCAGCCCCTGTCTGCAAGGGTCCCAGCAGGGGGTTGTCTCCCCCCATGGACAGGGGCTATTGTCACCAATCAGTCCCTGTGTTCGTGGTTGCCAGGGTTGTCCGCCGTGAACGGGGCTGCTGGATTCAGCACGAGCCGGGACTGAGCAGTCCCAGCTCACGCAGATCACTGCGCCTCTGCATTGTACATTTAGTAAGAGCCCAGCAGCTTTTATTACATTTAAAATGCAGAGCCACAGCGCGGGTGGAACCTGCAGCTCTGCCCAGCGGCGCCTATCGACTAATCGTGTAGTTGATACAAATTGTATTGACTATATGATTAGCCAGATAATCGCATTTGAAGATCCTTAATTGTGACTGCCAATGACCGATCAGAGTCCCCGTGCACCAGGCGCTGGATGGACACCCACAGAGTGCCTGTCCTAAAGCACTAACCCCACCGCCTCTTCCCTGCCGTGGCAGGGCCCCGAGCTCTCTTCTCTGCCCTGCGGCCCTCTGTGGTTCTGCAGGAAGTTCAGGCTTTACAAGGGGAAACCAAAGGAGATTTGGAACCTAAACAGGAACCGGTGGCGAACCCAGCTGGTGTCCCTGCAGTTCTGCACAAGCGGGAAGCCTTTGCCACGGTCGTGTCTCCGTGGCCACCCCAGAGGCGTGGCAGGCACGCAGCTTACCAGCAGCAGAGCTTTTGTGGCTCATGTACGTCCGTCTGGGGTCTGATCCTGCACCCATCACAGCCCAAACTCCTGTTGATACAAGTGGGAGCAGGATCAAGGCCCTGGGACTTGACTCACAACCACTCTCAGTCTGACTATGGCTGTAACCTCTCAGTCTGGGGTGTCCTGCTGCATCCCATTTGGGAATTGTTCTGCTGGAATAACTCTGGTTTCGCCTACCTTTTATTGTGCAGAAGCTGGCGGTGGCCCATTCCTAAGCCTGCTTTCCCTTGGGAACCCCACGGGAAAATTACTGGGAGGGGGGAGGGAAGAATATCAGTCATTTACAGTGAGCCTAGGGTTGCCAATTTTGGTTGGATGTATTCCTGGTGGCTTCATCACATGACCTAATCTTTAATTAACGATTAATATTTAATTCCTGGGGACTCAGGGCAATCCTGGAGGCCTGACAACTCTTAAGTGTGGGCCTGAGAATGGAAAAGCTGAGAACATTACCGCAATAAAGGCAGGGCAGGACTCCTGAGGTCTTTTCCGAGCTCTGATAATGACTCTTTGTGACTCTGGGCTACTTACTTCATCTCTTTGGGCTTCAGGGTTTCCAGCTGTGGTACGGTAATGCTAATAGCTACTCCGCTGCGGTTGCTGAGAGTTCGTGAATGCTTGTAAAGTGCTTTGAGATCCTGGGATATGAACCAACTAGTGAACTCCTCTGTCAGGGGATTGATTGGACCTGATTCTGATATTTTTGTGTGTCTAAATCAGGAGCAACTTCATTAAAGACAATAGTATTTAGCGGCATAAAGCCAGTTAAGTGAAATCAGAAATTGTCCCCTTGGTCTACACACTTCTGCCCGGGAAATTCCATTCTGTCCCTTTGTCCCTTCTACAGCTCTGGGCGGGGGGAGAGAGGGGGGAGAAGCACAGTTTCAAACTGTGGGCCTTTAAGTAGATAGTTTTAAAAGGAGAGCAGGGATTCTGACACCATCTTTTCCCTGCCGTTTCCTTCGCTTCCCTTCATTGATAAAATAACTGTTGAAGTGAAATCTAAATCCCCCAGAAAGACACTGACTTTGAGTAAATCTGCCGATGGTCTACGGAGAAACTTCAGCCATTTTTATGCTGAAAGCTGTATTGCAGTGCATGGAGCTGGAACGGCTGCAGAAGGGATGCGGGTGACACAAAGCAGCTGCTTTCAGGGCTTTCTGTGCCCTCTTCATTGGGATGCCACGGAGTGAAATGAATTTGGCTTATTGGGGGTGTATGTAGCCCTGCTCCCTTTGTCTGTTGTGTTGAGAGTTCAGAGTGGCTAGGGCTTGGGGAAGTCCCCACTCTGGTCATCGAAGGGTTAATCAGTATAGCCGAGTCATTCTCTTTCCGAGAGGAGTTTCCCTGTGGCAGCCTGCAGGGCCCTAGGGTAAGACTGGTGGGTGTGTTCTGGCAACCGCTTTGCACTGTGAAATAAACACCCTTTCCTAGAATGGCCTTCGTTGAGCATTGTGCCTGGAGACGGATCACATGGCAGCCCAGGGGTGGGTAAGTGGGCTGTGGAGATTTTATAAGCCTGCTGGGGCCGTCTTGTGGGTCTCCCTTTACGTGGCTGTTCCTGAAATCCAGGGCCTTGTCTGCAGCTATTGACCTAAAACCTCCCCCTGTGGGGCTGCACTTCCCAAAGATCCATCCTGAATCTGGAACGGAGGAGCAGAGAGTCCTGAGCTGCCTGGGGGAGCCAGTCTGCGCCCGCCTGTTGCTAGGAGGATCTCGCTTACAGGATGCTTATGGGTGTTGGCCAGGGAGCCGCCCGAGCCTCTCCCCATGCGGCTGTCAGTGTGAATGGTGAGGTAGCCGCAGTGTTATGCAGAGTGCCAAAGGAGGCTCCGTGGGCAGTGGCAAGTACAAACCTGCCTGAAACGGGAGGGCAGAGACTCAGCACAGCAAGGCTTAGCCAGGCCTTTGCTGCCGCTGCCCATCCTAGTGCGGTGACACTGTGTATCCAGGTGCCAGCTCTGAGTGTGTCCGCGAGTGGGGAATCGCGCCCCAGCTCAGCGTGGACCTAGCCTCGGATGAGATGGGAGCAGGCAAAGTGCTTTAGCAAAGCCCCCTTGCTCAGGGCCGTCAGAGAACGCTTTCATCAGTGGACCGGCTGCCTGGCAGCCCACGCTGGCCGCGGGGGCGGGTCACTCACAATTTAGCCTTTGTGTTTCTGCATAGGTTGATCCAGCCTTTCCACGCCTTGGGGAGCACTGGGCCATTTCATTGGTGCTGTAAGCTACATGCCGGTAAGTCAGCATGAGTGCAGACTGATGGAATCCCATGGCTGCTTCCTGCCTTTCCTTGTCAGAGAGCCACGTCCCCAGTACATGTAATCAGGTTTACAGCCGGGCGAGCAATATTACAGAGCTTACATGATGTAGTGCAGCGTGGGAAAGGCGGGGAGTGGGGTGAATGGCAAAAATAATAGCTCACAAGAGAGTGTAAGACACAATTGCTACCCATCCCTTTCCTTACCTGGCACCTTCCTTTACCCTCACATTGGTTACTTCTGCTGTTCCTCACCCTACCACCTCCTCAACATGTCCAGTTGCCCAGGAGACAACAGACAGCCTCTGTTGTATGCTGCCTATAGCCGTCCTACCATGATAATGGAAGGTCTGTTTCATGCCTGGGGTCATCCTGTTGTGCTTGCTGACACAGCTACACTAGGTCTTTCTCTGCAGATGTGGAATGTTATCCTATTGAGCATCTGGGTGGATGGTTTAAAGTAGTCTCAGGGTATGTCTACACTATAGCGTTATTTCAAAATATCTAATTTTGAAATAGTTATTTTGAAATATCTTATTTCGAAATAACGCATCTACACACAAAATGCATTTCTAAATAGCTTTTTGCTATTTCAAAATAGTGCGTCCACACTGATTGGACGCTGAATCGCATTTAAGGCCAACCAGAACTGGTTCCGGCAGGACATCAGGTCAGAAGTTACCTTGTGGCCAGGGCGGCCGGCAGGGCACACTGAGATGGGCTGGAGACCCCCTATTTCGAAATAAAAATCTACACAGCGCTTATTTCTAAATAACAATTTCGAAATTGGCACTATTCCTCATGGAATGAGGTTTACCAATTTTGAAATAAGCCCTCTGCTATTTCGAATTAATTTCAAAATAGCAGTTGACTTGTGTAGATGCTAGGAAAGTTATTTCGAAATAACAGCTGTTATTTCAAAATAACTTTGCTGTGTAGACATATCCTAACAAAGGGTTGTCTAGAGAGGTGGCCATTAGGTGAGCTGTTGCTATATTTTGCAAGTGGCCTTTCACGCAATTCTTTAAAAAGGATTATTCGCAGGGTGGCTAAAAATGATTTTAAAAAAATCAGATTTTTTATTTAAATTTGGATTTTTTTATTTTTTTAAGTCATGAATAAAATACTATATTTTTCATTGAAAAATAACACCATTAAATTTCATCACAAACATGCTACACCTACACTGACAGTCTCATCAAAATGAACAAATGGCTCTAGGCAGTCCAGCCTAACTACCAGCTCTTGCTTCTTGAACGTTCTGGGCTTTCCATTTCTGTTTCTCAGCAGACTACAAAGTAATATATGAAAAGAGAGAAACAAGCTGAACAGGATTGTGCTTGTTCCCTGCTTATGTGGTGGTGGACTTGGGCCAAGCACAACAGAGGGTTTAGTGAAAATTTTGTTTTAAAGACGGAGAGACAATAGACAGAAAAGGACGGGGGCAGCGTAGAAAGGAACCATGGAGTGGACTGTAAAGAAAAGGGACACCGTTATTCAGGAAACTCACAGCTTCCTATATTCCCTTTTGCCTCAGAAAAACTATCCTGGCTTCTGGGCATAGGAGAGACCCTTCCTGGGAATATTTTGAATAAATTTGTTTCCTGGGTAAAAAAAAGGAAAATGTGTCAGGCATAAGCAGTGCAAGATGGTGCAGGAATGAAACATCCTAAGGAAAGCTGCTTATTGGGAGAAAACAGTGTGGCGGAAGATGTGGATGTGGCTGAGTGGATAAACTGGTTAATAACTTCAATAATTCCAAAAATAATGAGGAGTCCTGTGGCACCTTAAAGACTTAACACATTTATTTTGGCATAAGCTTTCATGGGTAAAAACCCCCAGGCATCATTCTTCAAGCCTCTCTGTCTATCTTTTAGTATAAGTGCGATTTGACAAGTAAGTTCCCAAGCTGTTCACTCTGTTGGATGTTGCTAGAAAAAAAAAAGTTGAGCTTAGCTAATCTTTGTGGCTTGTTTAATTAGGTAATTAGATTTAGAATCTATCACCTGAGTATACAGTACAGAAAGCTGCAGTGAGAGAAATCTAGAGTTGCCAGTTGCCACTGAGGGTCATTTTCTTATTTCATATTATTAACACGTACCTCTTATTTTGGAACATCGCAGCCACAGGCCATAATGGTGATGCCATGAGTCTATTCCCGATTTTACTTCAGCATAACTCAAATACATTCTATACTTGTTTTCAACCAGACGTGTCAGTGAGTTCAAGAGGCTTACTCCAAGTACTGTCAGTCTGAGTGTTTTTGGTAACTTGATTTAAATCAGTGAATGATTGTTTGGTGATTTAAATCACAATGTAAATCAATGATGTAAATCATCTTGATTAAAATCAGTCCACCCTGATTGTTAACATTGGCTAACAGGGATTGTCAGCACTTTCAAAAATGTCCATCGACCTCTTTAGTAACCGGAAGTGGAGGACCAAAAATCCCGATTGTCAGCTGTATAGAAGAGTCACTGCTGTCTTCCCAAAACCTCTTTGCCAAAAGAAACCGGGTGAAATTTCCCTTAGAGAGGGTCTCTCCTCCTCCTCCCCTATTTAGTATTTCCGTGCTTGTTTGGTGGTCCTAGACAAAGAACTGAGCATGAAAAACTTGTGATTGGCTTGCCTCCTTGGTTTTCACTAGGACCTCAAATAGCCTGACAGGGAAATTATTGATGGAAGGAAAATCTTTTCATTTTGCCAACAGGCGCATTATTGAGCTCAGTGATGGGGTAACTGGGTGAAATGTAATGGCTTGTCCTATATAGGAGGTTAGGTTAGGTGAGCTGATGGCCTTTCTGGCCATAACCTCTGTGAATGTAGAACTTTGAGGTTTGCCCACTTCTAGGTCTCAGACCCAGACCATTTTGATATACATAGAAAAGGGAAAATAAACGGCATTGCATAAAACGCTCTAGCTCTTCACAGAGAGAAAGGATAGGTCCATGGGTTGTCTGCCTTGCAGCCAAGCACCTATGTCTGGTCCATGCGCTCTGCCTTAGGCTCGCAGAGCTGTAAAACATTTGGGCTTGGGCCTGAGCTCTGGCATGTTCCTACCTTGTGGGATTCCACAGCTCGAGTTCCAGCCCAGGCCTAAACATCTGTGCAGTAATTTCACAGTCCTGCAAGCCTGAGTCCCGAAATGGTGCCCAGTGACACTTTCTAGGAGTTGAGGGAGGTGTTGAGACATGGGAGTTTTGAACGGTACCAGAAGCCAGTGCAGATGTAAATCAATAGAATCTCTGTGACATCAATGCGATTCTGACTACAGTGGTGAAAACATTGGAAAAATTGTCATGTGTTTTCCCTCCTTTCCTCAGAGAGTGCTTCAGGGACTGGCTTATAAGGAGCAAAAACAGGAAGAGGTGGACACACTGGTGATGGGGTCTCTAGATAAATATTTTCATTCATCCACAAGCAGTATGTGTTAGTAAGAGACCAATCACCTGGAAACTAACCAAAATATATTCTGCTTTTCCTTAAATGCACGTTCCTTTCACTTGCATGAAGTATTTTTTTGTGTTCACATTCAGCAGTTCTTCTAGAACTTGTGATGACAAGAGAAAAAAACCCACTATCCAGACTTGATTCTTTCTTCCTATAAAGTTAAGAACATTCCCGTGAAACTGTCATATTTTTCTTTTAAAGAAACATATATCTTGCTTATTCTAAAATTATTCTGCCATTTTGGGTCTTGACTTGGCCTTTTCTTTCATTATTTCAAGACTAATATGTGACGGTTCTTTCCGTAACTATGTTAGTTCCATTGATATAAACCAGAGCCTGAACTTGGCTATAAGAAAAAAAGTATATTTCTTCAGATGCATTCATGCGCACACATCTCAATACAGACTTTACTGCAAAACTGCTAAGGTACATAGTATGTGTGGTATATATGTAATCCCCACAAGACGAGGCTTCAGGCATATCTCTAAGGGAAACTTTTTCTGTTGCTCTCTGTAGCTGTCAGTCTAGTGCTCTTACCAGCCTTAATTTCACTTAGAAAATATTTACCTTGAAAAGTTTGCTTAGTTAAATAAGGTTTTGTACCAATTCCTGTGCTGAGTGACTAAAACAGAGAAGGCTTTACCATGAAAGCTTTTCATGACAAGAGGTGGAGCAGGCATAGGTTGGCACTTACTGCTCATGTGTACCATGAATGTTTTTTCCATTTCTGTTACGTGACAAGTTAACGGTAAGTGTAAATGAGTGCTTTTCAAGAGCCAGACTGGTTCTATAAACAGAAGGTTGCCAGTTGGGTGATAGGATCTGAGTCTCTCTGCTTTCTGTGCAGAATAAAAGGAACATTTTCATCTCTTTTGCTTCAATCAGCATAGGAAGAATCCCCATTGTCTTCAGCCAGAGTTAGTGGGAAAGTTTTTTTCGCTGTCCACATACACCAAAATCTTGCCACTTCTTCAGTTTGCATCAGTGAGTGAAAGTTTTGTTTGCAAAAGACAGTACTTGTTGTTGATGCTGGCCCTAGAATATGACTTATTATCAAACAAGGATTTTCTTGGCAAATGTACAGGATAAAGTAATCCTCTAAATTATATGTTGCTTTTGCAACTCTTTGGTATGGAGCATTGATAAAGTGCTTACGTGTCTATAACACCTTCCATTCCTATGGCTTTAAAAGCAGTTTATAAACTCTATGTACTGGCTCTAAAATATATAACAAATCACTTCACCCACTGTTGAAATGCAGCCACCTCTGAGTTGAAGCGTGGCAGCTGGATGAGAGCATACTGCAATGTTACACAGTATGTTAGGTCAAAAAGGCAAGGAAAATATCACAGCCAGCCTAAATGGGAATACCAGGCTGTGGTCACCTGCGGCAGAATTAGCCCAGAGTCAGTGCCCCTAGCCTGCAAAAAGTGGTGTTTAATTACCAGGGCCGCAAGAGATGGCACTTCCAGCAGCTTCATAACACACCGGGAAGGAGGGGAAAAGGGGGGGGGGGGGGAGTTTGCTG